GTACGGTCTGACGAACATCGGTTGCAATTTCTTTCCTCTACCCGCCGTGATGCTCCGTAACGGTGTAACCTTGAGGAAAACACGGTCCCCAACTTCGAACTCCAAGTCTTTCCTTCAATTGTCCGCATAACTCTTTTGTCGGTTTTGAGCCGTTTGGAGTCTTTGTCGTATCAACTTGACTTTTTCTTGTGCCTCCTCCATCCATGGGATAGTCGTTGGATCTAGGGCTTTCTTCTCGCCGACTTCATCCCAGTAGATCGGTGACCGACATTTCCTCCCATAAAGTGCTTCGTATGGAGCCATTTGAATGGATGAATGGTAGCTATTATTGTATGCAAACTCCACTAAGGTCATGTGTTGACCCCAATTACCCCCAAAATCTAAAATGCAGGTCCTTAACATATCCTCAAGAGTTTGAATTGTTTGCTCCGATTGTCCATCCGTCTGAGGGTGATAGGTGGTGCTTAAGTTGAGTTTGGTCCCCACAGTCTCTTGGAATTTCTGCCAAAACCTAGATACGAAGCGGGGATCTCTATCGGAGACGATGCTTACAGGAACGCCATGTAGCCTTACGATCTCGTCCATGTACACCTGAGCCAATTTCTCCATAGAGTATTTCATGCTTACCGATAAGAAATGGGCCGATTTGGTTAATCGATCGACGATCACCCAAACGGCATCGTGTCCTCGTTGCGTTCGCGGCAAACCTGAAACGAAGTCCATTGTGATGTTTTCCCACTTCCACTCGGGTATCTCAAGGGGTTGTAACAAACCCGATGGTTTTTGATGCTCCACCTTAACTTGTTGGCAAACGAGACATTTTTTCACGTACAGAGCGATTTCCTTCTTCATGTTATTCCACCAATATGTTCCTTTTAGGTCTTGATACATCTTGCTACTACCCGGATGGATTGTGTATCTGGATCGATGAGTCTCCTCTAAGATCTCCGTCTTTAACATTTCATCTTTAGGCACCACCACTCGATTTCGGTATTTTAGAGTACCCTCGGGACTAAAATTGAAGTCGGTTGATTCCCCTTTTTCCACCTTCTCTCCCCACTTTCGCACCATCGAATCCTCCTTTTGTGCTTCTTTAATTCGCTCCAGTAGGGTGGATGTTACCTTAATATTACCAAAAACCACCTTATAACTCCCAAGGCAGGGTTTCCACTCGCAAACGGATTCTAACAAATCCCACTCTTTGATCATTAACCCTGCTACTTGAACCTTGCGACTTAAGGCATCAGCCACCACGTTTGCCTTCCCCGGATGGTAGTTGATAGTGCAGTCGTAATCCTCTAGAAATTTCATCCACCGTCGCTGCCTCATATTCAATTCCTTTTGAGAAAAGAGGTATCTAAGACTTTTATGGTCTTAGTACACCTCGAATGTTATCCCATATAAGTAGTGTCTCCACTTTTTCAGAGCGAAGACAACCGCGGCTAGCTCAAGATCATGGGTTGGGTAGTTCTGCTCGTGGGGTTTCAGCTTCCTAGAGGCAAAAGATATCACGTTCCGATTCTGCATCAGCACACACCCCAGACCTTCTCGCGACGCGTCGGTATAGACGGCAAACCCGTCTACTCCGTTGGGCAAGACTAGAACTAGCACCATAGTTAATCTTTTCTTTAGCTCCTGAAAACTCATTTCGCATTTGGCATCCCACACAAACCGACCATGCTTCTTTGTCAGGTCGGTTAAAGGACCGGCTAGTTTGGAAAAATCTTTAATGAAACGCCGGTAGTACCCAGCCAGCCCTAGAAAACTACGAATCTCCATGGGGTTTTCTGGCCGTTTTCAATTCGTCACGGCCTCTACTTTCGCCGGATCAACCGAGATGCCCTCATGAGAAATTACGTGCCCTAAGAAAGAAATTTTCTCCAGCCAAAACTCACACTTACTGAACTTGGCGTATAACCGACGCTCTCTTAGGGTTTGCAAAACAATTCTTAGGTGCTGTTCGTGCTCCTCGTGAGTTTTGGAGTAGACCAAGATGTCATCAATAAAAATAACGACAAATCGGTCCAAGTAGGGCTTAAAAACCCTATGCATTAGATCCATGAAGGCGGCAGGAGCATTGGTTAGTCCAAAGGGCATAACTGCGAACTCGTAATGCCCATATCTCGAATTGAATGCGATTTTCGGGTTATTCTCTCTCCTAATCAACAACTGGTAATACCCCTGTCGGAGGTTCAGTTTTGAGAAGACCACTGCTCCTTGCAACTGGTCGAACAACTCATCAATGTGGGGCAGTGGATACTTATTTTTAATCGTCACATTGTTTAGCCCCCGGTAGTCTATACACATCCGCAGACTCCCGTCCTTCTTCTTTACAAACAACACAGGGGCTTCCCAAGGAGACCCACTCTCTTGAATGAACCCCCGCTCCAAAAGGTCTTGTAATTACAATTTCAGCTCCTTCAGCTCCGCAGGGGCCATTCGATACGGGGTTTTTGAGATAGGCGAAGTTCCCGGTAACAGGTCGATCTTGAATTCGATCTCTATCTCCGGAGGTAGGGCTACTAACTCATCAGGGAATACATCCAAAAATTCCCGAACTATGTGTCGCGCCCCACTTTTTGAAAGTGTGAAAGTAGTGTGTATGTGAACGTGTGTGAATGGAAAGTAAAAGGCCGTGGGACTTGAGAATGCGACGATTTGGCCAAACAAAGTTCAAAAGGGGGGTTTTTAATGAAAAATGGAGTCGCCACTTGGTATAGAGTTAGGGTGTACCAAGTCACCCAAAAAGAAATTTTCTAAAGGAAAGATAGAAAGAAACCCCCTTTTAAACGACTCCTAGTCCACGTAAACCAACGAAAAAGGTTCGGGAGTCACATTTGACGAAGGGGAAGGCAAGGATAAAAATCCAAGGCACCCCTTCGACCTAGCCAAGGCTAGTTGCGTGATTTAGCCCCACCTTTCCTAATTTTTCTACCCAAGGTATGTATTGCGTGTTGAATATGACTATATGAATGCAAAAACCTAGACCTAGGGGGACATGGGGGAAATTTCTCTTCAAAGGTTGAGTGGTGCCAATCACATTAATTGTGAAGCCCAATAATGATCCTTTGGAGAGGTCACACATAATCCTAAATGACGTAAAAATGAGTGGAATGCATGCCATGTGAAAATGTGAGTTTGTGTGAAGTGAGAAAAGTGATAAATTAATAGAATGTAAGTGGAGGTGTGCAAATGTACTTACAAGGTAAGGTGAGTAAAGAATGATAATGTGAAAATAACATAAAGTGCATGTGTGTGAGTGAAGTGAAAACGTCCAAAAGTAGTGTGAAGTGAGAATGTGAAAAAAGGGATAGAATATAAGGTAGAAGTGTATAGGATAGCGAATAAATGAAATGCATGAACCCTAGAGGAATGCAAGCAAAATGGGTACGGGGACTCCTAACTTTGTGACTTTAATTTTCCCTTTGATTAGAAAGGAGAACTAGCGTGCTAAGGCTATTTGTGGAGCCACACTCGCTCGTTTCCCTTGTCGAAAGGGGACTCTCAAGCAAATGTACCATATAACTAGCATGAGATGCAAAAACCTTAAAATGAGGGGAAAAGGGATTCGAGGAGCATGCCAAACGATAAAAACTAAGAAAAATGCATGAAAATGTAGTGAACATGCAAATGTGTACTAACAAGAAGAGATACCTAAGGGTCTAGCGTTGGACTAGCCCATATCTAGGAATTCCTACTAGCATTGGACTAGTGGAAAACGGAACAATGAGCCACAACTAGCGTTGGACTAGTGTGGTGACGGGAAAGGGGGCCACAACTAGCGTTGGACTAGTGTGGTGACGTACACTCATCCATCATGTTCATGCATTGCTATGGAAAGCGAATAGACATGTCAATCACCTATAAACACATAGCACATAACACTTAGCATGCTCGACTAGATGCAAGAACCTAATAAAGCCAATTAACACATAGCAACAAAGGCAAATAACCAAGCTAATGAACCTATTACATTTGCTAACTAAAACAAAAGGGGAAGGGGAAGAATGGACAAGAATGCTCGCCAAGCCCTATCTATTACAAGCCAAGAGGTGTACACATACCCCATTAAAAGAATAACTTAAATAAAAGCAACAGTAAATGAAATAAATGAAAGGAATTAAGAAAAGGCAAGGAAAGCGAAGTAGACATGCAATTTTCACTTAGCACGTTGGATCACGTAGGAGAGACAAAAAAAGATAAAAGAAGTTATACCTCCCTCGCGATGGTAATCAAATGAAGTAAAAATGGCTTCAAAACAATAAAAAGGTCAAGGTACCACTTTATTTAAGAAAAATTAAAAGAAATATGCAAAACGAAGCTCATTTGATCATAAAGTCCCTAAAGTCATGTCTTAAGCGCAATTGAAGCAAAGCATGGTAGTTAATTGAAGCAAACAAGCAATGAAGTTGCACAAATTAAAATTACCAAGGACCAAATTGAGGAAATCATTCAATTGATTGGGCCATAGTAGGACAAGGGGAGACTTGGGGGGCCAAAGTGTAATTTTTGAAAGCTTTCATGCATGCATACGTAAAAGCTTAAGCTTCTGCAATTTTATTTAGACAAGGCTTCTGCAATCAGCACTTCGCCAAAATCAGCTTTCAAACACAATTAAATCCAAGCAAACAATCACACAATCCTCTCACTTTGCATCATGAAACTCGTAGATGCAAATCTGAACAACTCAAGCCAATTCATGCCAAGCTTTCAAAACATTTCTGCAACAAACATTTCTGCTGAAAGCTTTTCACAACGAATGCAATCTTTCTTTCATTCAAACATCCCTTAACAAAGCTAACCGAACCAAAAACTGGAATCAAAGCAACAAGATAACAAAGCTTTCTCCCCACTTTTATCCTAGAACCTTGATGTTTATACTTCCAGAAAATTCAGCAAAACAAACGCACACAAACTGTCCGCGTGCACTGCCGTAACACGCAGAGAGCTTGCAAGTTTATTGCAGCAGATTTCAGGCACAAAACTCAGCCAAACATAAATTAAACCCAGGCATCAAGATCATCAAACATTCCATACTTTGCAACATAGCACCTTTGGATTTAAGCGTAAAGAACATGCAAAGCTAGAAACTTTCTGTGACTTCACAAATCGAAAGGGGACCTTTGCAACCTCCTTCCTACCATTTCAGCACACACACGACACATTTATAAGCTTCCAATGGAGCATACAGAAATTCAAACTGATGTCCGAACAAAAAGGCTCTAAACACAGCTTTAATATTGAGCCATAAGACTATGACGAAACGCAAGAGAAAAAACATGGAGACTACAACAACTCAAGCTTCTTTTGAAATTCTGGTTTTTGAAAAATTCTTGCAAAGAGAACCATTTTAATCCTTAACCCATTACTCAATATTGACCCAAAGCTATAGAGAGGCGAGATGTAACTCAGAAATAGCAAATAAGCTCCAAAGTTCAAGCAAACCCAAATCATGAAAACAAATAAGATACCAAGAACAGAACTTGCAACCCATGAGTCACACTCATTCAAATTCACGGAAGGAATAAAACACTAAGGCTAACAGCTTTTGATTCCTAGATTTCCAATCATACATATTGAACCCAGCTATTGCGGTTGTAATCAATCCACCAAGCCATGACCAACCGAAAGCAATGCATTCTGAAAACCGAGATGCCGGCCATGCCCACAAACAGGAAAACCACATTCCAGTTTTAGAAGAAACCCACAAGAGAAAGGTTTAGGATTACCTCTTTGCTGCCTTTGGAGTCGTATCACTGTGGGTATGCCTGGATGAATGGGATTCGCCAAATTCGAATTGCAAGCCTCGACAAAGGGCTATGAAGTTCTGAGCTTTCGGTCTGAAATCCGTCTCTTACTCAGCCTCTTTCTTTTGCTCTTTTATCTATCCACAGCCACCACCAGAAACCATCCTCTGACATTTTCCCTTTGTCTAGTTTTTGCTCATTGATTCGTTCTTCCCTCTTCCCCTTGCTCTCGGCTCAACTCTCTCAGTTTTCTATCTTTTCCTTTAATCAGCCGCCAGCTCTCTCTCCGTCTCTTTTGGTTCTTTTCTTACCCATATCCTTCAAACCGAAAGATCCTTCCTTTCTCCGCTGTTCTCTTTTCGTTGCTTCTCCCTTGCTCAGCCGAAGCTCCGTTGCCTTTGTCTCCCTCCAATTTCCTTACTCCGCCGCCGCACCCTCACTCTTGCTTCTCAAAACCCTCGGTTCCCCTTTCTTTTTCCAGCCCGTCACCTTTTTATGCTTTCTTTACTCCCAGCTCCAAGACCCTTGCTTCCCCTGATTTTTCTCAGCCGTTTCAGCCGCCAACCTTCCTCTCGAAACTTTTCTGCCAAAACCTCGCCACTCTCTCTCTTTTATTTTTCCAGCCGTCCTCCGTCCTTTCTAAACCCAGCCTTGCTCACAGCCAACCTCTCTCTCCCTTGGTTTCTCAGTTTTTTCTTAGCCGTCCACTCCAAAGAACTCCTCAACTCCCCTTGCGGCTGCTGCTTTTTTTTTCCTTTTATATCACCTCACTAATCCCTAAACCCTCTCCCGAATGGTGAGGATGAAGGGCTTACCCTTGCCTTCACATCCAGCCTTCCAAAGGGCATCCGTGGCTATCCTTTACACGCTGCAAAAAATTGCAGCGTGCATGCCGCGACATTTTTTTTTTTTTTTGGAATATTAATTAAACAAAATTTATAATAAAGCTAAATAATAATAAACCACAATTTAAGTAATATCACATTAAAACATACAAACTAAAAACAACAAAGTTGCCATTTTTCAATCTTTTTTTCCATCATTTTCATTTTCATCTTTTTCTTTTCTTTTTCCTCTTTTTTTTAATCAAATTAGTAAATAAAATAAATGCTCGTAAACTAATTAAAATACAATAAGAGGCACGAAACGGGAAACAACCAAAATAAACCTAAAATTGAAACAAATAAATCTAAAATTAAACTAATTAAAAAAATAAAATTCGAAACCAAAAATTTGGTGTCTACACTATGTGCACATCCTCTACCTTCAATTTATCCGTGGGGGTGTTGATTAGAAAGGCTAAAAATCCTTGCGGATCTCTATTTAGCAGTTTTCTAGCCCGAATGCCTGAGATCAGGACAGATGAAGCTAACCTCCCCCTTATATCTAACCTTAGGGTCGCCTCCCCAGGAATGCGGAATTCTACCACCTTCTTCTTACAATCCAGTTGTGTATTATACCTGGCTAACCAGTCCATGCCCAAGATTACATCATACCCCTTCATAAACAAGCTAATCAAATCCCCTAACAATCTCATCTCTTCTACCCATACTTCACAATCTTTATAAACCATACTAGTAACCAAACGATGATCCCCTGTAGGCGTACTAACTTCTAGGTCGTAAGGTAAACTAGTAGGTTTTATGTCAATGCCATATATGAAATTAGGGTTAACAAAGGAATGGGTGCCACCGGGATCTACTAAAACCTTTGCAGAGCGGTGGAATATAGGGATCATACCTTCTACAACCTTAGAGGAATCTGGGACCTGCTGTGGCTCTAATGAGTACACTCGAGCCGCGACCTTAGGTTTCGTCCCATCTCCCTTAGCTGGTCCAGCGTTGGTCTTTAACGGTGGTTGACTTCCTTTTCCATCCTGCTTTAGGATTGGGCAGGTGGCAAGCTGGTGGTCTGCACTTCCGCAACGCAGACATTTCCCATCTTTCTTCCAGCAGTGGTCCTCAGAATGATTTGGCTTTCTGCAGTACCCACAAGGTCCACGGGACGCCGAACCTGAACCCCTCTGGAAATTTCCTCCCTGGCCTCTCCCAGCTGGGCCACCCCTAGACGGAGCCCCTCTGCCTACTCCCGACTGTCGTCCACCTCCGGCTCCCCGTCCAAACTTGGGAGGGGTACCCTTATCCCCCTACCCTGAACTACTTCCAGGAAAGCCTCGCTTCTTTGCCTGGAAGTTCCTTACTTGGAGCCTAGCGCTCTCCACCCGTTGGGCTTTCTCCACGGCCTCGCTAAAAGCATTAATCTGGGCCACCGCGAGGTCTTTCTGAATCTCTACGTTGAAGCCCTGGATAAAACGCCTTATTCGCCGCTGTTCGGTCATGATCAGCTCGGGGGCAAATTTGGACAGGCGGGTGAACTGACTCTCGTATTCCGCTACAGACTGAGCCCCTTGGCGAAGTCGGATAAACTCATCTTCCTTCCGTTCCTGGACTAGAGGAGGGAAGAATTTAGCGTTGAACTCTCGCATGAAGTTCACCCAGGTCCGGGGCGTCTGCTCCCGTTCCCACTTCTGTCGAATGACGTTCCACCAAGAACGGGCCACCCCTTCTAGCTGGAAGTCGGCGAAAGTCACCTGCCTTTCCTCAGTGTAGTGCAAGGCAGCAAAAATATTCACCATTTTCTCGAGCCACCTTTCGGCGACATCCGGATCGGGCCTCCCAATGAACTTCGGTAGGGCAAACTTTTGGAATCTCTCAAGAGCCCTGTCGTCGCTTTCCACGTGGTTGCCAGGGTTTCCAGGTTAGGATTGGGATTTTGACCCTGTTGCTGCACTACTTGTGCCAATAAGTTGGTCATTTGCTGTATGGCAGCAGCTATTTGAACGTTGGGGTCAACCCTAGGGTCAGGGTTAGGTCCAGATGAGATTTCCCCAGCGCCCCTGTCTGACGTGGGTTGCCTACCCTCGCGCCTACGTCCCCGACCACTACGTGTGCCTTCCATAAAATCTATTCGATCTAAGCAAATGTAACTAGAACAATAAAATAACAATACTGGTAAGTAAGAAACCCAAAAGCTTTTACAATAAAGCATATAATACAATCCAAACAAAGGCAAACAAAGCACACATGAACAACCAGTCAAGTCAAGTACAACAAAACAGTCCCCAAGGGAACGGCATCATCCAGAAGTAATATATACATTGCTAGCCCAAACGGACAAAAACGGCTAGCTAAGGTTCTCTCCCAAGTCTACCATTCCCTATCCTTCCTATATACGGTAGTCAAAAGCCTCCAAAATACCCCAAAAGTGATGCCTAGTCTGTCGTTGGGCTAGTGGACCCACCCGACGGGGTGGATTCACCTCCAGCCTCACCCCCCGCACACAAAGCCTCATCGCTCTCCTCCTCGAGCAAATCGTCACAAAGGTTCAAGATCGACTCGGCTCGAACCCTAACTTTCCTAGCTCTCTTAGTCATACGCTCACGTGCCTCTCCAAGTTGGGCGTAAAGGTCGTCCACCTTATCTTGACCTTCGATCACGTCGTACTCTAATTCCTTGATTCGCTCGGCTTGTTTCTCGTTAGCTGCCCTTAGTTGGTTCACCTCGGCCTCAAGCCTAGCGTTATCCTTCGCCAACTCCTTTCGTTCCTCTACCACAGCCAACACTACGGTGTTAGGGTAGGCGTAAGTGTGACGGCACTCACAACGTCGGAGGCGGTTCGCCGGACTCCAACGTACGACGGCCCCTCTTGGCCGAATCTGGTACTTAATCGTCGGGAGCACTCCACGAGGTCGCTCACCAGTAGGGCTACCACTAGGCCCACTATGCCCATCCATCCTACACCAAAAGAGTAAATAATCATAAATAATCTTAAGAGACACAATCAAGGTAATCCTCAAGTCGAGCATTTCGAACACGCCCAGGCCAATTCAAACCAAGGCTCTGATACCACCTGTGACAGCCCCACTTTCCCCTAAGGCGAACCAAAGAGGTTAGCGGACTGCCTGCCCAGCTCTCGCCAGGACTAACGGTGCAATCAAACACGATCTAAAAAATACCGGGAACATAAACGCGCGCTCAAACTATACCAAATGGCAAAATAACAACACAAAAATCAAAACCGCCAATGAATAGTGGGTGCAATGTCACATAACTCAGAAAAACATTTCCAAACCAAATATGATACATGAACAGGGTCAAACGGTATTATACACATACGTTTGTAATTTACAGAACAAAAGGAAGCTAATTAGATCCAAATACATTTAGGGTTTTCCAACTACCGAGGAGCTTTGCAAAAATATATTAAAACGAGCTCAACTCGTGCTTCAAAACATCATATTCCCCAAAAGTGATGCCCTGTAAGGAAAATAAAATTTAATGGAGTGACCTTACGCCCAGTGAGATACTTTCACTCAAGCAAGGAAGTTCAATTATGCATGAAGTCGATCAATCCCAAATCATTCAAGAAGAAAGCTAAATAAAGTCATTTATCAATAACAATGGTAAAAGGATACGGACGGCTCTCAAGAGCCCCTTTCCTCACTCGCCATACTTGATCGTGTCTCATTGACCCTCCGTCAATGTACAAAGTGTAACCAAACGTAGACTCCACTTTACTTCCATTCCTTCCACCCAATATACCCCTATCGGACCCGAACTCCAAACAGTGGAAAATTGATAATACTCGAGTCTACCGGAATCGAGAGTCTCATACTACACGATTCCATATAACAGTCACCATGGCTCGTCAATTTTCACGAAGCCCTTGCCAGCTCGATTCAATTGACCACCAATGGGGTTGAGCTCAGTAATAACAGTAATGGCCGTTGGATACTCGTCCAAACGACACCAATTCCAATATATTCATATACCATTCAAGTAACACAGTAAACAGTCATATGTAAGACATAAAGGGTGAGGGTGATCAAGTACACCCCTGCTTGAACCAATTTCAACGGGAAAATAAGCATTCAAGGCATCAATTTCAAATGTAACAAAGCCACATAGTAACAAGCAAGTGAGTAGTACACTCACCAAGCAAGCAAATGAAATTTCATACATTTCCGCCCAAAGAGCGTCTTGAATCACCGTCACGCCCTAAAACATTCAAACAAGCACAATGAGACTCGAATACGAGTCATAAACCGAACCCACATACTACTAGAGTGAAATCAAATGGAACTATAAGTGCAAAATCAAACTAGGACATGTGCGGAAACGAAGTTTAGATTGGAAAACAAAAGGCAGATTTTCTGTTGCTTTGCGGAATTAACACAACTGGAGCTACCCTTGTCGGATTGAGGTATATTTTACACCTTTTCGAAGCTAAGAGAAAGGGATACAATGTTGAAGAAGGTCACTCAGTCCAGTTTGCAATGTATCTAGGTCAAATTTACCAAAACAACCCCAGATTTTCCAGTTCATAGTTCAACTAGAAGTCCTGATTCATTCAATCATATCGCAGCACATACAACTCCAATTCAAGTGATTCCAAAGCCATCTGAAAGCTAAGATACCAGGATATAATTCTTAAGAAGACATCGACAACCAAATCAGTATTATTCTCAGTCAAACTAACCAATTACAGAAGCTGATTATCAGTTTCGGACAGAAACAGGGCAGCAGGGGTATTTCAGTCTTTTCACAGGCTACTTTGCTCCGATTGGGCTGAAAGTTTTCAGGAAACTATACAACATCATTCTCTACAACTTTCATGTTTTAACCCAAGGCTAATTCGTCCTCTAACTGGGAGAAACAGTACCAGGTATAATGGGATTACTTGAAACCTTAATCTGGAATTTTAGTATCAAACCCGAAATGTTACACAACCAATCATATCCGACATATATCAGCTCCATTTTACACTATAATAAGCCCTCAATCCATGACCAAACCATGATTATCATACAAAACAGGAAAATAACAATAATAAATCAAAATTAATCAAACCTTCACTTCCAACCGTAAACAAACCATAATCACACCATATGTCATCATATTAAATCACTGCCACCAATTGCACATTATCAAAGCTAAAGGGAAACATTCTTAGCAACTCACCTTGTGACCTCAAGAATACAAGCAACTTAGCACCTTTGCTTCTCAAACCACTTCACCACTCACCTTAATACCACTAGACTAAGAGGTTTTATGGAGGAAATCCAAGGTTAATCAGTTAGAATTGAAGATTGAACAAAATTTGAGGTAAGAAAGTGGAGAGTTTTCTTTTCTTTTTTCCTTAGAGAGGGCCAGCCATGAAGCTTACAAATAAGGATGATTTTTGGGTAATTTTTGATTAAATTGGTAAAGTAGTGAATAGTGTGGTCAAAGTCCAAGGATTAGTCACCAAGTGACACTTGTCACTTCAATTAATACATGGTTATCCTTTTGTTCCTCTCACACCAATTCATCTAGTGACTTCTAGTTATCTCTTAACACCTGCTAAATTAATTCCGGTATGCAAAACTTAACCTAACTGGCCAAATTTTACCGAACTTTCAGCACTAGCGGGTCCCACGTCCGGTATACGCTCTTAATTTCTCAAAAACTAACCGATACTAGAAAAATCATTTGAAAACTATATTTACTCATAAAAATTTTCTAGAAAATTTTTCCTAAGCAAGAAATTATAGAAAAGCTTGCGATTAAATAAAATAAACCCTAGAAAATAAGAAAATTTATGGGTTCTCACAATAAACCACCAATATAATCCATGGAAACATCTCACCATCACTTCATAAGCCATATTAAGGCTCAACAACAACCATACACTTCATTTCCAACCATCTCAAAAATCATTAACCAAACTTAAATTTGCAAGAGCTTTTTTACCTTCAAACAAGGTTGATAAGGGTGCAAGCTACTACAAAAAGCTCCCAAAGAGGTTCCTCCAAACTCCAACTTCAAGATTGATGGACAAAAGTTGATGCACCAAAGAAATTTTTTCTTCTCCTCTCAAGCTTCAAGTTTTGGTCCTCTCTCTCTCTTTCTCCTTTTGGTTTTTGTTTTGTTTATTTCTTATGATTATCTAGCAAATTTTATGATATAAACTTAGTCAAAACATTAGAAGATATTTTCCCTAACAACCAATACATAACTTGGCCCTCTCTCTCTCTTTCTCCTTTTGGTTTTTGTTTTGTTTATTTCTTATGATTATCTAGCAAATTTTATGATATAAACTTAGTCAAAACATTAGAAGATATTTTCCCTAACAACCAATCACATAAAAGCTTCAATTTTGCTCTTTAGCCCTTACACTCCAACTTTGCATGTGATCAACTCTTGCCCTTAAACATTTGAACTTCTTACTTTTTACTCCATAGGATCTAAACTTAATCTAGTCCAAACTAATTAATCTTATTTAGTTTCTCTACTAATCACCCCACCAACTTAATCATCTATACTTAACCATGTATTAACAAACACAAATGCAATTAAACAACAAGCTTTTTGTCATGGGAAATATTAAGGGTTTAAACCCAACTTAGGATTCTAATAAATCATAACACTAGAGATTTTTTTTCTAGTTTAGGGTTTTCTAAGTTTTTAAACTTACTTAACCTATATCAAATGGATCAGATCCTATACTTACCTGTACTAAAACACACACTAGCATAACCAACTGTAACTACAACTCGAACTTATGATTAATTCAAAGACTAGGGTTTCAATTCCT